GCTGAGTGCTATGCCACTTAGCCCAGGGTCACCCAAAAATCCCTTCCCCACAAAAGGACAACCAAAGAACAGCTCTATACAGTGACCTTTTCATTCTTTCCTAGGTCAACCAGCCTCCCTCAAAGGTTTTAAGCCTAGAAAGTAGCAAGATAGCCCCATACCTATAACCAGTTCTGTATATTGCAAAACTGCCACCTGTATCTGTCACAACAACTAACAATTCTTGTGACTTTGTAGATGGTCTGGCAATATTTTGGGGTGAGGGGGTGAAGTCCAGGCAACTGGGGTCATAAGATCCCAATGAGCCCTCATTTCTTTAAAAAAAAGAACCTTATGGTTGTGGAGAAAAATACTTGAAGACATGATCCCTAAAAGCTTCAATACTGAGGGAAATACAAGAAGGTTCTTTTTTAAAAAAAAACAAAACCTCATGATTTTTCAGTCAACTCAAGATTTTTTGAGGTACAACTCATTATATGTGAATACTTGGCACCAATAACATACATCTTTACTTGCAAACAGACCATGGCATCTCATGCTGGCAAAGTACTGACTAAAACATTCAGCTGGGGTTATGGTGTATAACATTTAAGTATCAATGGAACAAGGGGTCTACATATAGCCACATTTGAAATTCAGATCTATACGTACACTTTGCCAAACCAAATCTGTATGCCAGTATTTTATGCTAAAGAGCATGCTCCCAATACAATTATCATTCCAAAGACAAGACAGAAGATAACCAGCAAGTTATTGGGGGCGGGGGGTGCGCACGTATGTGTATGTATATATATATATATATATGTGTGCGTGTGTGTGTGTGTGCATGCACATGCACACCAATAGAGATTTTTGCAACCAATACATATCAGCTGATACCGATCCAATTTCTGATACCGAGCCCGGCACCATGGAGAGCTCCCTCCAGCTGGTAAATCTGGTGTGGTGGAAGGGGAGGGGTAGGGGGGAGGGAAGGGCATGGGACGGCAGATCAAGGCTCCCTGCAGTGAGGGTGTGGGGCTGGGGCAAAGGCTGGGGCAAGTGCTGCCCAGTCAGGGTGAGGTGGGCATGGCACAGAGCCACAGCTCATCTTGGAGGGGAGCTGCTTGTCTGGCAGCTCTTTCAGCGGCTCTTGCTGCTGCTCCTGCTGCTTGTCCGGGGGAGGGGATGTGGCCCCAGATCTGCTTGGGGTGGGCTGGGGCCGGAGCTGTACCAAGCTCTTCCCAGTGGGGTGAGGCT